TGGGCGCCCCAGTGGGTTAGAGGAATCCTCCCCGCCTGTGGCCCTGGGGGACCCGACTCTGGAGTCACTGCTGCTGCAGTTTGGGCTGCAGGTAGGAGAGTGGACCAGGCTGGGGGAGGTGGTAGAGGACTTGCATCAGCAGGGGCCCACCCTATGGGCACCCTCCTCCATCCTACTCATAGGACAAGAAACCACCCCGACCCCGCAGCTCTAGCCACGCTCTGGCCCAGGCCCTTCACTGTGTGCGAACCCAGCTGTCTTCCCTGGAGCCTCCCAACCTGCTCTGGGGGCTCCTGGGAGCTGTAAGTGCTGTGAGAGTCGTGCAGGCCCTGCTGGCCTCCTGGTCACCCCAGTCCTCCCTCCCGGCCAGAGAAGAGAAGCACAAACTGATCCCCAAAAAGGAGTCAGGAGCTACATCCACACAAGCCACGCCCACCCCCAACAGCTGCATCCGTGGCTCTGGGACCCCCCTTTCACGAGCAGTCATCCACCCCTGGCGGAGAAAGTAGCCGCATTGTCCCTTATTCCTAGAGGATTGGGTCCTTAGAGAGCTCTGACTGCAGCAGGACAGTCCTACCACTGTGCCTTAGCCAGTCCTGCCAGGACTGCCAGAAACTGGGGTACTGCTTGTTGAAGGTGCTGGATGCTGCCCGAGACCCACTGGTGCCCTTGCAGCCACTGCCCCCACTGCCTCACTATTGGCCCAGGAGGTGGCCTGAGGCCCAGCTCAGTATCTTTGCTGGGACATCATGGAAAGTCAGTCCCCTGCCCCAGGCTGAAGAGGTCTGAGTCAGGAGTCCCTGATCACAGCCCCTGTCTGGAGGGGATAAGGGGTCTCACCAAGGAGAATAGCAGAGAAGGGGTCACCTACATTGTCATCTCCACACAACCCGCTCACCTTTGGATCCAGGCACCAATAAAAGAACCTCTGGAGCTCGGCTGTGCTGGTGTTTTCTTTCTGCTAGGCAGCCCTGAAGACAGCAGACACCGCTGGGCGCCATCACCAACCTGGTTTCATGGGCACTTCCCGTGTGTCCTCTGTGAAATGCACACAGAGCCTCAGGACCAGCACAGTCTGACGCAGCTGTCACTGTGGGCCACAGGTTGAAGGGTCAGGCCATAGAACTCTGTGACCTCCCTCCTGATTCTGAGCAAGGACAAAAAGTCCAAGTGGCCAAGGGATGAAAGGGCTGAGAGCGAGAGGAGAGAGGGTACAGAGGCCTGGGTCCATTGAGGGAGGAAAGGTTCCTCCGGCGCCTCCGCTGTGCCCTCGGAAGAGGACAGCAATGGAAGCAGGTCAGGGCACTGGTCACATTTCCAGCTGGGGTCTGGTTGTCTTTATCGGGGCTGCCTCCCTCCCTGGGAGCTCAGAGCACAGCTTCCCATGCCCTTGGCTTTGGCCTTGGTGCACACCTGCCCTGTGCTGTCCCTTGTGGGCTCCTGGACTCTCCATGTCCCCAGCTTGACCCAACACCGATCCAGACAGCCACGGCACTGCGCAGGTACCCCACGAGCTTTCAGATACCTGCAGGGGCGCTCGCGTGGAGTCGGCCATCTGCCAGCTAGCCCTGGCTTAAAATGAGGTAACGCATAAAATTCAAACACTTGTTTTTTTTCTTAGTCTTTTAGACTCCATTTGTAAATTTTTGCTACTGTTTCTCTAGCAGCATTTTTTTAATAAATTTTATCCCATTCCTCCCCTCAAGTCCTCTCCACTTGCCATGTACAAGAGCTTTGTTTCCTTTTTTTTTTTTTTTGGTCCCTTCCTTTCTCCGTCCTCTCCAGTTCCCCTTCCCATTTGAACACTTTCTTCCCATTTCCCAACATTCACTGTACATCTCAGTTCTTATTACCAGCCTCAGTTTCTCACATCAGAAACAGTGTGGTATTTAAACATGTATGCAGTTTATTTCACTTAAAGAGTATAGTCTCAAGGTCCATCCATTTAAATGTCTGAAGCTCATCTTGCTTACGGCAGAGTAGTACTCCACATATAAGAAAACCACACCCTGTCTGTCTACTTGTCAGTTGATGGGCATTTGGGCTGTTTCTAAGATTTAGCTATTATAAACTGTGCTGCTATACACATGGGTGCGCACATACTGCTGTGGTGTGACGCTTTCCATTCTTTTGGGAAAGTACCAAGATATACCTGGGTCAAATGGAGCCTCTAGTTTCAGCTTTTTGAGGAATCTCCACACTGATTTCCACAGTGGTTGCACCAGCCTACAACTCCCACCAGCAATGGAGAGGGGTTCCTTTCTCCCATAGCCCCTGAAGCATTTGTTGCTGGTTGATTTCTTGATAGCAGCCATTCTTTCTAGAGTGAGATAGGATCTTAGCATTGTTTTAATTTGCATTTCATGAATGACCAGCATTGTTGAACGTTTTGTCGTATATTGCTATTTCTTTTTTCTTTTCTTTTTCTGTGTGTGTGTGTGTGTGTGTGTGTGTGTGTGTGTGTGTACCAGGGATTGAATAATTCAGGACCTTGCTCTTGCCAGGCAGGCACAGTGCCACTGAGCTACATCCCTGGCCCTGCTGTTTCTTATTCTTCATCTGAGAAGTGTCTATTTCAGATGCCCAATTTTGGTCTGGGTCTTTAAATTTGGGGGGGATCTGATTCTTTTGAGTACTTTATATAGTCCAGATAATAGTCCTTTACCTAAATAGCTGGTTAAAAGAAAAGTTTCCCACTCCACGCGTTGTTTCTTCACTCTTGGTAGTTTCTCTTGTTGTGCAAAAGCTTTTTAATAAGAGTGCCTATTTACAATAATCTGTTTAAATGATAATGTACTTCTAGAAAATATCATATTTCAATAAGCAAAACTTGTTAGAATCCACCAGAATTTTATTTAGTGACCCAAAGTGTGAGCAGTATTTTTATTGGTTTACTATTAGTATGGAGCATTTTAAGTTACAAGAGGAAAAAAAAAAAAAGACCAAAGTGAAGAAAAGATACTTCTGGGTACTTCGTTGGTCAAGTCTATAAAGCCATGGCTTGATTGTGGTTTTTTGAGACAGGGTCTCAGTATGTAGTTCAGACTGCCCTGGAACTCACTGTGTAGCCCAGGTTGGTCTCAGACTCACAGCCATCCTCCTGCCTCAGCCTCCTGAGTGCTGGGATTACAGGTGTGCGCCACCACGCCTGGCCCATGACTTGATTTTGCAAGAATGAGTGTGTTGATAACATCCTCCTTTAAAGCATTATCCCAAATTGTTAAATGAAAGAAAATATCTTCAGCCTGTTTTTATACTTTTTAAAAAATCCTCTGTTGTGTTTGTTTTGTTTTGTTGTGCCAGGGATCAAACTTGGGTCCTTGCACTTGTGAGGCAGGTGGCAGAGCCACTGAGCTAAATCCCCAGCCCTCTGCTCTGATTTTTCAATTCCCTCCCTCATACTTGCTTTGGGCTTGACTGGCTCTTCTTTTTCTAGAAGCTTGAGGTTCAACGTTAGGTTCTTTATTTGAGCCTGCTCTGTTTTCCTGACATGGGAATTCACCACTATAAATTCTGCTCATAGGACTGCCTTTATTGCATCCCATAGTTGCTGTATGTTTTACTGTCATTATTAATGTTAAACTGAAGAAATTATCTGAGTTTTTCTTTTACTTCATCTGTGACCCATTGGTTGTTCAGGAGGGTGTTATTTAATTTCCATGTTTTTATGAAGTTCTTGTGGTTTCTTTTGCCGTTAATTTCCAGTTTCATTGCACTATGGTCTGATAATGTGCATGGGATAACTTCAATTCCTTTGTATTTACTTAAGCAGGTCCTAAGAGCTAGTATATGGTTTATTTTTTTGTTTGGGGTTTTTTTGCTGTTGTTGTTTTGTTTTTTGTTTGTTTGTTTGGTTTTTGGTTTTTGAGACATGGTCTTACTATGTAGTTGAGACTGACCTGGAACTATGTAGCCCATGCTGGTCTCGAACTCACAGTGATCCTCCTGCCTCAGCCTCCCAAGTGCTGGGATTACAGGCATGAGCCACCATGCCTGGCCTTTAGTATATGGTTTATTTTGGAGAAAGTCCTGTGTGTAGCTGAGAAAAATGTGTATTCTAATATTGTAAGATGGAACACTGTAGACATCTACCAAGTCCATTTGTTCAAAAGTTTGGTTCAATTCTAATATTTCATTGTTGATTTTTTTGTCTAGTCAATCTGTCTATATGTGACAGTGGGGTTTTGAGGTCCCCCATTACAACTGTATTAGTGCTTATATGATTTTTCATGTTAATATTTGTTTTGTATAGTTGCTGCTATTTGTTGTTTTGTGTAGCTGCTATTTGGTGCATATATATTTAGGATCGTTATCTCTTCCTCTTGAATTGTTCCTTTCACCAGGGTGTAGTGTCTTTGTTTCTCTTAATTGTTCTTGGCTTGAAATCCACTTTGTTTGCAAATAGAACAGCTAACCCTGCCTTTTTCCCATTTCCTATCGCATGGAATATTGTTTTCCATCCCTTGACTTTCAGTCTGTGAATTTTTTTTCAATTAAATGCCTTTCTTGTCTGCAGCACATTGTTGGATCTTGATCTTTTTTTTTTTTTTTTTTGAGACAGGGTCTCACTATGTAGTTGAGACTGCCCTGGAACTCACTATGTAGACCAAGCTGGTCTTGAACTCACAGCAGTCCTCCTGCCTCAGCCTCCTGAGTGCTGGGATTACAGGCATGTGCCACCAGATCTTGCTTCTTGATCCATTCTGCCAATGTTTTTTTGTTTTTTGTTTTTTGTTTTTTGAGACAGGGTCTCACTATGTAGTTGAGACCAATGTGGAACTCACTGTGTAGCCCAGGCTGGTTTTGAACTCACAGTGATCCTCCTGCCTCAGCCTCCTGAGTGCTGGGATTACAGGTGTGCGCCACCACGCCCGGCCAGTCTGTTTCTTTTGATGGCTGGAATGAGATCATTAACATTCATAGTTATAACTGATATGTATTGTCTTATCTCTGTCACGTTATTTTCCTGCTTGTAGCAGCTTTCTTGATGACTCTCGTGCTGTACAACCCCCCCTTAAGAGAGCACAGTTTGGGCTTGCAGTGTACCCAGAGTTCCGTGACCTTCCCCATCAGTTGTAGAGGATTTTCATCCGGAAAGAAGCAGCCCCATGGCAATGGCACTTGTCAGGTTCCCTCCGACTCCTCTCCTCCCAAGCTCCAGGCGCTTCTCAATTTTTTTCTGTCTCTATGGATTTACTTGTTCTGGACATTTCCTATAAATTAAATCACATTGGGCTGGGGTACAGGTCAGTAGAACAGCATTTGCCTAATGCCTTTGAGGCCCTGGATTGAATTCCCAGCACCACCCCCCAAAAAATTATTTTAAAAATTGAGTTGTAGGGCCAGGGATTTAGCTTAGTGATACTGTGCCTGCCTTGCAAGCCCAAAGTCATGAGTTCGATCCCCAGTACAAAAAAATAACAATAACAATAATAATAATAAAGAGTTCTAAACCAGGCATGATGGCACACACCTATACTCCCAGCACTTGGGAGGCTGAAGCAAGAGTATTGCTGTCTGAGGAGCCACCCAGATGCCTTCCACAGCTGCTCCATTGTGCATTCCCACCAGCAAGGCACAGAGGTCCCAATTTCCCCATGACCTCAGCAACACTGCCTCCTTTCGGGAATAGCCATCCTTGTGATCTGCATTTCCCTCATAACTGATCTTGAGCGTGCTTCCCCCACCCCCAGTACCAGGAATTGAACTCAAGACCTTGCGCTTGCCAGACAGGTGCAGTGCCACTGAGGTACATCCCCAGCCCATCATGAGTA